TTATTTATTTATTTATTAATTATGTATCTTATTAATTATGTAATTTATTATTAGAGTTTTGATGAAATGTATCTGTTAGGGTTTCTGGTATATGAATTCCCAGGAATCCTGGCATTTCTAATGGTTGATTCTCAGGAAATATGAATGAATTGCAAGAATGTTAAGCTTTTAAAATTTGACAAAATTTTTCGTACACATTTGCAATTAACAGCTATTTTCATTCTTGATGAACTAAAATTTTCACATAAGCTGCTGTGTATGCAAAAAAGGACCCTACGAAACTTTTGAAATGATCTGACTGTGATGTTTTTTCACAAAATATTCTTAATATAGCTCTACAAAAGTTTACTATGTCATTCATAGCATATCTTTCTATAGTTTTTATAATTTTTTAAAGTATTATGTTGCCATAATTTTTTTTAAATATGAGAAAACTCCAAAAATATTTTCAAAATTTTAGGGTTTATGATTTTCAAAACTAATAATAAACTCGTTATTTTTTATGAAATCGTAATATGTCAATTGTTTTTTGTTTTGTAAAATGTTAAATTTAATATGTATAAAATAATAGGCAAAAACAATTTTTAATCTTTTTCCTTTATTTACATTAAAAAATTTTTCATACTGATCCATTTAACTTAATTCATAACAACTTTACAAAAATTAAAATATTTTGATAATTTTTGCTGAATTTTACTGACAGGCATTGATGTTAATCAAATATGAACATAGTAGCTATAGCACCTGAAAATATTGCAGGAGTGGTTTTTTTGTCATTCATTTTACAACTCGTTTTTAGCTTCAAATAAAAAACAAAAAATTATTTTATCGCATTTAGTTTTTTGCAATTGGTTTAAAAATTCTTAACATATTACAATTTTATGTTTACAGCTTTGCCCCCTTGTTCAAAAATTTATGATTCTGATTCTGCTGTTTTCTATTTTTTCCCAGTGACAGAAAAACAATTTTAATATATGATGCAATAATAATAATAATAATTTTTATTATTATTACAGTAGCCCCTCATTATATTGTGCATATAAGAAGGCAAACTAAATGAGCCATATCAGATGGTGTGATATAATCAATGTATTTATCCTTTATTGGCTAAAGTGCTTTTATATTTGGAAGAGAAAATAAGTAACAATATATCCTTGTTATATCTTGATATAACAAGGATATATTGTTACTTATTATTGTATTAGTACTACTGTATTATTATTGTGTTAGTAGTTTGTACTGTACTCAGTTAATACTGATACCTAGTGCAATGCCAGAGCATGGTCAACACACAGTTACAGGAAAACTTACTCCAGGTTGTGTGTATTGTTAAGGCCTAATAATAATGTTATTTTTACTTAAACCAGTAAAATACTAAGCAGAATATCAATTATTATATTCTGCTTAAAATACTAAGCAGAATATAATAATTGATATTCTGCTTAGTATTCTAACTACTAAAAAAGAAAGAAAGCCAAAAAATCTATATCCAAATGTTTATATTAAATTCATCTAAAATAATCTTACCTCCTGAGCATATGCTTTTCCAATTCCATCTGTTGCTCCAGTAACAACTGTAAAAAAAACAAAATATCATTTAAAAATTATGCATAATTTCAAACTACTGCTACTTCATTATTTACTTCAAATAAATATTATTAAACATAAATTTAAAAATTTCCCTTTCTTATTTACTCAATTTTTATTTTACACAATGGCAAATTTGATATATAGACTAATTATGTTAGAATTTTCAGATTGTAATCTTCTAAAACCTCTTTGAAAAAAATGGGATAATGTTTTTATATATATTTTTTAATTTGACCTATTAATTTTTAAGGTTTTTGGGTTTCTTTTCTAAAATTACACTTAGTCATAACATCATAGTAATAAGAAACATAACAAAATGATTAGCATTAATGATAAGTTAAATCATAAATAACTATAATGTATTTTAGAACACAACAAATTTTACTTAAAACAGTATGTTATTTTTTATTTCAGAATACATTTAAAAGAAACAAGTCATATTATTAGTTTTTTAATATAAAATTCTAGGTATATAATTAATTATTTATAAATTTTAACTAATTTAAGTTTCTATTGTATTTTTTTAAATAAAAATGTATTGTGTAACTTAAGTTTTGTTTGCTATTTAAATTTCAAGTATATTAAATGTATTTTTTAACAAAGTTCTAAAAATAAAATAACTGAATACTTTTAAATAACTTCATTAAACTGCCAAACTTCATACACTAAACATTACAGATTTTTAGTTTTAACATAGCAATAGAATTACATATTGTACCTAATAGAATTACATTGAAAAAAGTAATAGGTGAAATTCTTATTGTAACATTTTTGTCAGCATAAACATTAACATTAATTATTATTAATTTTAGTTTTTACTATCTTGATTTATATTATGGTAGAATTCCATTTTATCTGATTTCATGTGGACCAATGCCACCTTGGATAACTGAAAACTCAGATAAAATGGATAGCTATGTCCATTTTGGATTAAAATTCATAAATATAAGATTTATACAATATATCAATTTTAAGCCACTTTTTAGATTGTTATGTATAATTAAATTCACTCATTTTTTTACCTAATTTATTATACAGCTACAGTCGACCCCCCTATAACACTGTTGATAATTCCGTTTTATATGAATTCCATGTTGTACGAATCACTTAGATTTTACAAATACGTGAGCCGTTCACAGCCCGGCACACGTATTTGTATAATCTAAGTGACTCGTACAACACGGAATTCATATAAAACAGAATTATCAACAGTGTTATAGGGGGGTCGACTGTAATATACATACAATAGTTTTAAAAATAAAAATCTGTATTGTTGTAGTTACATTTTAGTATGAATGATTCACATTAAATGTCTCATACTGAAGTTAAACAATAAAAGGTAGCAGAAACAAATAGTTTTATATACATGTTATCAAAGGTTTCAAGCAATCAATTTGGGAAACTGGCAGTCTGGATTTCAACCCAGTCATGAGCACAAACTTATCACTTCAAAAGTCAAAAATATTACAGCAGGTTTTGTTGAATGTCAATACAGGCTGAAGTAGTGTTACAGCAGTTGAATATATCTAATGACACAATGTGAATAGTAGTGAGAAAATTGGTGCACTGTTATCCATATAAGATCAATCAGAACAGTTAGTTGCTTTCTGCCAATAGGTAAACCCAATTGACCTTTGCAATGATCTCCCTCACCAGAATGGAAAGGGATATACTTTGGCTATGGAGACCCTGGAGTGACAACACATTTTCACCTTAGTGGAACAGCAAATATCCAAACTGTTACATTTGAACCATGGGAAAACCCTCATATTTTCCTTGGCCCAAATGCAACAGTGGAATACAAATGGAAAACCCTTTTTGCAGTAGCTTCCATTGCACTTGACTAAAATGAGTCTGGCACCATATATAGTCTTAAGATTATTCTTCAAACAAGCTAGTTCAAACAAGCCTGTGATATGTACTGTGATTGCCCAGAAACCAAGGGATACCGAACACTTTTGTCATACCTGAACTGTAACAACAACAATGCCTTGACTCAACCAGCTTCGTGCTTACTCCATCATAACAATGTCCCAGCACATGCTCTCAGTGGATATCTGAAAACAGCTGCTGGAAGGAGGAGTGTTCCAAATAACTGGTGAAGAGTTGTGATAGTCAAATTTCCTAAGAAAGGAAACCTTGCTGATTATAACTGGAGAGGCATTGTGCTTCTTTTAGTTCTGGAAGGGTCTTTTGCTTAGTTCTCTTATAGCAGTTAAGGGGAGCAATTGGACCAAGCTTGAGGGAAGAGCATGCTGGTTTCAGACAGGGACAATCATACTGTGAACAGATCTATGTTCTTCAGAATATCGTATAGCAATGTCTGGAGTTCCTGAAACCACTGATAATTAACTTTGTTGACTTTAAAGAAGCCTTTGACAGTGATCACAAATTGCTGTGAAATATCATTAGATCTTACAGCATACCACAGCTATATATTAATATTTTTAAGAACTTTTATCTGGATAAATACAAAAGAGGGATACACTGATTTCTTCAAAATTGAAACAGCTGTTAGGCAAGGTTATACTCTCTCATCATTCCTGTTCCTTTTGGTCATATATTTCATAGACAAGCAATGGTCATCTCTGGTGCAGGAATTCTCAGATGCAACTCACTGATCTGGACTTTGTTGATGACATTGCATTTATATGAGAAATGCACCCAAAGATGCAGATTATAATCACAAGCCCTGAGCATGAGGCTGGTATAGTGGGATTGCAGATCAGCAGTGATAAAAAATAATACGCATAAATAAACAAACAAAAATAAAACTCACAGTTGAAAGTCAAACAAAGGAAGATTTGGGTAGTTCTGCTATGTTGGTAGTATGTTATCACCAAACAATTGCCAGATTAAATCAGGCTATATTACTGCTATTAAGTTATTTCAAAGCAGTAATAGTCTGATCTAATCCAGCAATCATTTGGCTTTAGTATAACTATCAGGCTTACAGATGTATATGTATATGTTTTGTCACTAGGCAGAGACATTGAAGCCAATATAAAACCTAAATTGGTAAAGCATCAGCTATCTTTTAGAGACTACACTCAATCTGCACAAACAACCAGTACAACAATTAAGATACATCTCTACAACAATATTCTCATTTCAACTGCAATTTATGCCTGCAAAAAACAAAGGAACAAAGAAAACTACTCAGAAACTCAACATATTAAATCAACATTGTCTTCAAAAGATACTTGAAATTACATATTGCAATTGTATCACAAATGAGGAAGTTCTCAAAAGTGGACTACACAAACTACAAAACTTTGTTACAGAGCACAGAATGTGTTTTGTAGGGCATTTATGGTACTTCATATACCAGAGAAATGCTTACCAAAAGTAGCCTTCAATGGAAACCATACAATGAAAAAAGGAAACAAGGCAGACCATGAACAACTCAGTGTTCTACATTCAAAGATCTAAAGAATGTTAGCACTCTGTGAGATGATGCTGAAATATTTGCAGCTGACTGTGTTTGCTGGAGACAGCTGGTTACCCAATGTGCCACTTGCCACAGGAGGACTCAAGATTAAGCCAAGATTTAAAAAGTTGATAACAATAACGATATACACAGTGGCAGATTTCCGAACAGGCACATGAGGCTTGTGCCTGGGGCCTCATAAATCAAGGAGCCTCAAAATTCAGCTCTCAAAATAAATAAAAATTATTTTAATTAATTTTTTTCTCATAATAAAAATAATTAATAATTTAGCAGTGTTCCCTAAATTAAATTACCCTTAATTATTTACCAAACAATAGTGAAATGTATTATAATAATTTACAAATTAATTATTATTATTATTCGTGATCACTAGATTTTTGAAATTCAAATCAGTAGTAAATTTAAAAATTAATTAATTCTTTATATCCATGGATTTCTAGATTTTTTGTTTATAACACTTACCTATTGAAATTTAATAATTCTTGTACCAATAAGTTTCAATTTTCATAATTAATACAATCTGAACATCAGTAACCATTTAAATACAGTCAGGCAGTTGTAATTTTATATTGGTTAATTTTCAATGTTATTTCCCCATGTCTCACTTTTTTGGACCACCAGTATAGCACCTACTAGAGTAAAAAATGTGTGCACTGTAGGGCTTAGGGGTAGTGAAAATATTTAGAGAGGACCTCAAAATTGAATTGTGCCTGGGTCCTCTCAAATGCTAAATCTGCCACGAAATACATGTGTAAAAAAAATTGATATCTATTATCTATACCAGTGTTTCTCAACCTCTAATGAATTGTCACCCCCTTCAACGTAGTATCGCACCCTTCAGTAAAATCGCTATGTAGTATAGCTCCCTTCATTACGAAATTTCGATGCAGAGGGCCAAGACTAACACCAAATTCATACTGCATTGAATAGAATAGTGACTAATATAATGTTATTTGTTTAATTATTGTACGATATAACGAATAAAATATCTAATTATTCTTAATATATTGTTTTACTATATCACCCAGAAAATTGCCCCCCCCCCAAAATATAAATTGCTACTATTCGCCCCCCTCAACATGGAAAAACGCCCACACGGGGCGATATCGCCCCCGTTGAGAAACACTGATCTATACGGTCAACAAAAAATTAGGAAATATTTTTCACAAACTGTTAAGGAATTGAATGAAGGAATAAATAAGAAAATAAATATGTACTCAAAAAGTTGAGTAACAAACAAATTTATAATTTTCCTTACTCACCAATATATTAAAAAAGAGGAAACTTTTTCAAAAAGATTATAAATTATTAAAGAGAAAAATAATGCTAACAGATAACATTAATTATAAAAACTTTTCAGCCATCACATTTCCTTAAGGACATATTAATTCAACATTATATATAATCTTAAGTGATTATTTTAATTAACTATTTTAAAATTTAATCAATAAAAATATTTATTTTAAAAAAATCATTTTTCAAGAATTATAAATCACTAAATAAAACTTTAAGTTTCATCTTTTATAAATATGTAAACTTTTAATAAAACACTGCAGTTTCTTGCATAAGTAAATTCTATTCAATATGCAAATTTAAAAACCACCTCAAAATACATAATTTTGTAACTTTTCCAGGTATAAAGATCTAAATGAATTTTTCCATTCAGGAAAATCCTATTAATAAGAATAAGCCATTCTTTTAAGAATTTCCAGATCGACGGAGGTTATCAGAAAAGTAATTATAGCTGCGGTAAAAATACAGAGCATTTCTAATAAAATTATCAATAAACTATGACATATTTTACGACACTAAAATAGCTTAAAATATTATAACACACGGTGCCAATTCTTTAAACAGTAAAATTTTTAGTTATAATTACTTAATAAATAATTTCATTACACAGATGAGAAAAATGAACACTTAGAAAAAATCAATTGCGACCTAATTTTACAACTAAAACAGTATTAATTTTTATTCTTCGCTAATAGAAATACCACTTGCTAACTCAGCAGACTTTAATCAATCAGATTTTATACAGTAATTTTTCTAAATGACGAAATTACGTGATATAATCGAAGGTTGTAGATAATATCTTGTAAAGTTTTCCTCAAAAGCCTTTTTTCTTACCTCATTCTAATGGTCGAGTCGACTTTGTTAGACATTATGCAACTGAAAAATGTATTTCAAAACACCTTACAGTATTTCATTTTTTATATAAATAATTAAACATTAAATTTATATAGGCTAATGTCTGTAAAATATGAAGATAGACGATATAAAGCTCGATAAGATCAGTTTCAAGCAGAAAAATACATTAAAAGAAAAAGATAAACACTGACCTGCCCATCTTCCTAGTTGTCTCCAATCGACGGTCATGCCGAGCATTCGTCCCAGAACGCATGTATAGAGGCCTTTTAGAATAGAAAGAATTAATTTGATGAAGATAACTACCAATACGAGGAACCCGATCCACGCAAACACCTGCAGAAAGTTAGATTTTGCCGAAAAGCCTTTAGTAGGACATGTAGCTGTGTCGACCTCCATGGCTTCAGTAACAAATGCCACCTGGAAAACGGATAACGAGGAAATACCGACAGAGCATGCGCCGAGGTCGCGTAACCCATCGCGCCACTATATGTTTTTTTTTTTCTGTTTTGGTGACGTAATAAATATGTCGTAAGAAAAAAAGGCTATTTCCGGCCCCGGGGAAATTCGTCCCATTAAATGCTTTTATGTCGGCCGTTTATATGTAAGACATATGTTCGAATAATATAGTTAATGCATCATAATTCGGTCGTCTATTCGTGCATCGTAAGTGGTAACTCGTACAACTGCAAATATTAATGGGGTTGATTACTAGACTGTTTGGCCCATATTTTCAGAGTAATAAGCAGCTAAAATAAGAGGATTCGTAACGTATTCGAAAATATATTAAAACAGTACGAAAAACTGAATATTGGATTTATTAAAACGGAATTTGTAACGCCTACGGGCATATATGAATCCGGTTGTTTATTAATTGATTTCTATTATTACGGAGATATCTTCATAGATATTTTCTATAGATTTGGAATAAATATTAAATTCGAATGTTCTTTAAACTAATAAAAGTTATTTAGAAACATTTTTGTGTTGGAGCTAATTTTATTACATGATTAATTAATAAGGAAAAACGGAAATTTTTCTTGAGGGAAAATGTAGACATTCTTAAAACTCTACAATAAACTCAGGAAAACATTGAAATCCGGTTTTCAAGGACTTTTAAACTTAACGTAAATCGATGGACTTTGGTAGAAAATTTTAATTAATAAACAAAAATAATAAATTGTATTTACTTATATAATTAAATAATATAACAGCATTAAGATTATATTATATTTATTATAGGAAATTTTGAATATGTCATGCGATAGAATTCAAACTTTATTAATGAAACATTATATATTTTAGTATGTTTTTAAGTAGAATTTTCCTTATTTTTATTTGCTAATGGAAGAATCTAAAGTTTAATCTAATGTTTCTTTGTTTATGTTTCATAATTCTTTTGTTCATGTTTCATTTTTTACCCTGAAAGATACAATTTGAAGAAAATTAAAATCAACTTTCAAATATGGGATAATTGTATTTACTAGATTTATAAGATTAGAAAATTAAAAACAAAATTACTTGAAAACGAGCAATTATTTATTATGACATCGTCATAATGCCGGGCTGCAATTTTTAATCATATTTTTAATTTATTTCATTTAAAATATGTACTCTCCACATCAAATTAGTAGTGGCTTGCCCTTGTATATCATACTTTTCCTTTAAATTAATAATAGAGTCGTGCTGGTCATATATCCGACACCTATCAGGAAAAATTTTTCATTTGAAAAACTTCCGGTTTGCATTGAAAGTTTTTATATAGTTAATCAGTACCTCCTATCCCTAAGCTATTCATATCTGGACTCGTCTTTCATCTATATAACTTTGTTCTCGATAGTAAGGAAAGACAGACCGACGGACGACAATGGGAATTTATAGGTCTACAATATTTTTTAAATTGCAGCCCAACAACCTAAAATCGAGTTGTTTTCATGTTATTAAAATTTTAACTTTGCTTTTATACCTTGTCAAATTATTAGACCCATTGACTAAAATCATACTTTTTTACTATATTTTTCTTTTTTTTCGTAATATTATTTAAGGAATAAGTATTTTTCATGTTATTCTTATACTCTATTATATCCAAAATACTTTTAATAAGTTTTTTATATTGCAACACTCTAAATGTAAAAAAACTTTCTTCTACAAAATGGGAAGTGATGGAGGTTCATAGTAAGGTATGGCAGCATAGCCTCATTTATGAGAAAAAAATTTTAAATGTTTGAAGAGTATTCCTTACGATAAAAAAGCACTACTAGCTGTTAAAAATTATGAATATTTTGAATGACTAACAAATCATTAATTTTTTGCATGGATCTAATAATTTGGCAAGGTAATGTAAACAAATAACATAAAATTTGCTCATTTTTGTTTTCAGCATGTTTATAAAATCTGTTACCTTGGAAGAATAAAATTATACACTTTTAACCAGGGACGTCGAGATTTTGTATGAAGCCCGGGGCAGACAGAGAACCATATCAGATGCATATTAATATTTTATTTATACTTATACATTATAATTTTAATATATATCTAGCATTTTAATATATCTAGTACGTTGTAATTTCATTATTACTATGTTTTTAAAGCATACACGATTTAGCAAATTTTCGGCAATATCGGACACCTCTTCCCTCAATTACTCCGTTAAATCGAGGCCCTAATGTATTAATAAATTCAAGGCAATATTATTCGTTATTCTGTTATGTTCAATGTTGTAAGACTGACTTTGTTTTCTCTCAAGCAATCAATACGATAAAACAATTCTTTATAATCTCTAGAATATACAGTACTATAATTAATCTTTGAATAATAATTACAAACTGTTGAACACAAGATTGTGTTATTAATTAAACACAATCTTGTGTTCAACAGTCAATAAATAGTAAAACACGGTTTCAGAAAATAAATCAACAAAATAATTACAAAATTAAAATACTGTATTGATGTTTTAATTTAAAACTGATGATAATGCATAGTATATATTTAGTATAAAAAAAACTACTGTAACACAGATAGTAAAGATATTCTCAGCTTATTAATAAAGACGATGATGCTTTAATAATTGCGTTCTATTCTGTATTTTGGATGTCTTTTATAGATTTTATAGGTAAATTAAAAACACTCTTTGTAATAGGAGAAGAAATCACTAAAGCATATTTTAGGGATCTGGTACCATTTTTCTCGAGTCGTTTCAAGAGAGGGTTGTTGGACTGCAGAATCGAATCTGAAGAAACAACGATGTAAATTTAACCAGTAAAAATATAATAGATTTTTCTCTTATATAGCATTTTACATTAGACATTGTAGAGTTTTGGGTCGGTGGCCCTACTTACGTAAGTCAAAAAGTAGTTGGTTCTTTCGGATAAGCGTAACGACAGGCACTGACACCGTTTCGCATCGGGACTTCCTATCACAGGTGAAACGAATCGTGGAATTACGGTAGCAATACCCCGAGCAGAATGCAGATTGATGCAAATTTGGTTCTATGTCTACTATTCATCTCTACTCCGTTTTAATTGCTTTTAACTGTTTGGCTAAAAATAAAAATATTTTATTTGTCCAGAAATCGTTATAGAAATTATAACTTATCTATACAGGTATACCTCGACTTATGTCGTTTCGAGTTACGTCGTTCCCGATTATACGTCGTTTGTCAAAAAAGTATATGGAAAAATAAAAATCAAGTTTAAGTCATTTTCTTCGACTTTACATCTGTCCACCACAAATATTGAAGTCGTAATATCACTAGAAAAATGTTTAAAGCACATAAAATTATATTAAAATATATACATTTACAAGTATGTACTGTATTTACAGTACATGCATTCGTAAATTTAGATTACTTTTTCTGTACTATATTAATTAATTAAAAACTAAAATTTATTTGTTTGTAAGCTTAAAATAGATCCTTATTAACCATACATTATTAAAAATGCATTAATAAATAAAATACAGAACCGGAATTGGCAATTTATGGTTTAGCCTAGTGACAAGTAGATTTGGAGACAAGTAAATTCGACTTACGTCGTTTTTCGACTTAAGTCGTTCTCCTGGAACCAATTACCGACGTAAGGCGAGGTATACCTGTATAATTTTAAAATAAATTAAAGTAATTTTTAAAATATAATTTTTATTTCAATGTTTAAAATTGAATACAAAATCCTATATTAATGCAATTAAAAATTGCATAATTGTAGGATATTGCATCAATATGAATCAAATAGAAAATAATTCATAATTAATCAATATCAGTTATTTTTCATTTGAACTCTTGTTATTTTTTTAACTATTGAAAGCAATAATCAATATACAGTATATTACTCCTTTTAATAGCTCGTGACAATAGCCAATAATAATTTTAAATATTTAATAAGAAACGATAGACAAACATTCTCCGAACAGAACAGTTTTAGAGTAATTTATTATTGACATTCTTGTGAAAATATTTTTTTTAAATGAAGTTGAATATCTTTCTTTTGAGAAATGTAAAAATATCAAAATTAAAATTAAAACTGTATAAATATAATATTTTTTAAAGCCTTTCTATAGAAAATTGTTAAACAAGCAGTAAATATATAACTTACATATACAATATATTTAGCAATTGTTTGCGTTAAGGAAAATTACAGATAAATGTTGACAAATTGGCAATGGCGTTCTTATATTTCATAACTTTAGTAAAAGGAAATTTTTCTATAAATAATTACGGATATTAACTGTACGTGTCCGAAGCTAAGCAATAATTAATATAATGTTTAATTATTATTTTTTCGGTCATTGCTTCATCAAACGGATTGTCTGAGTAGTTGCACGTGAATTGTTCTGGCCAATAGTGAATAGAGAGGTTGAGGCGCACGTTTTAAACGTGTAAACGTGTACGTGTGACGTTCGGCGCCGCTTTCCCGTAAGCCTAAAAGTTTGACGATGGTGTTTGGAATGTCGAGCGTGATTCCACCGACTATCCAAACACCATTGTCAAACTTTTAGGCTTACGGGAAAGCGGCGCCGAACGTCACACGTACACGTTTACACGTTTAAAACGTGCGCCTCAACCTCTCTAATATTGTTGTTCTTTTACTATTAATAGAAGACTCTAACAATCTATAAAAGTCGCAAAAAAATCGGGATTATAAAGCAAATATTCAAATTCCAAGCTGTCCCGATGAATATACGTAGGCCTATTACTTATACAGTATTCGTATTACTTTATATTCCGCATTTCATATATAAATTAACATAACGGAAAATCTCGACATTTGTTTTTAAGACATTCAAATAAACAGGAACATAAAACATTTTTTTATTTTTATATTTCTGAATTTTATATATTTATTTAATGACGGTAGCAGCAGTAGCAGAAATGTATTTTTAAAATTTTCACAAATAATAAACTTAGAAGATGTAAAATAAAAATTTTCATTTTATTGTTACATATTCCGAATAAATTTCAATTTTAATTTTATTGTTTACCAATATGTTGTCTCCAAACATCCTGGAGTTAGTCTGTTTTTAATTTTTGCCATGTGAATCGTGAAAATGCTTTTTGAGTTAATCTTTTTTCATATCCTTGTATTATTCAATGAAATTGAACTATTATTTCTGATGTTGAATATTTTCTCATTTTAAAAGTGGGAAAGTATAGAATAGCTGAAAAAAGCAGAATGAGAAGTGATTGTAAACTATGCTGAGGAAAACTCTGAAAGATCTTCCAGGAAGAAAAATTTATTACCTGTTCTTCTAACTTAGCAAATCAGAATAACTACGACATCGTTCTTGATCATTTCTTACTTTAATTTCCTTGCCAATCAAAAATTTCGTTTTTCTTGATTTTAGATTGATGAGATTAGAAATAAATAGGAATTTTTAATAGCGTAATATATATAGGCCTATATATATAAGTCTATATTATTAATAAATTCATTTAAACAAATTCATTGCTTTTAATGAATTTTGGTGAAAAATATTTCGAATGAATCTCTGATGGTAATGAATTTTCCCAAGTCAACTTTTTTCCTAGTCATCATTAGGATAAATATTACCATACTAATAGAATAGACTACGTAATTATCCTTTTCTCTATCTTAAAAAAAGTTTTAAAATCTATCTTATTCCACTAAAAGATTTTCTAAAAGACCAGGAAGAAAACGTAGCAGTGACCTTGATACCAAACTAAGCATAATATCGTGCAAAGCATTACAGACTGAATACATAGAAAATTGATTGATCAATTAACATTACGTACCAATACTATATCATACAGCGACTACAACTATGCTTATTACATGTGAATATGAATTTTTATCAATGAAATCGAGTAGCATGGGTTAGGAATGGGAACCCTCTATCAACTATCAACTATCATGAATGATCTCATTACAATCCGGGCGCAACAAATATAACTTAATGGCAAAAAAACACACACATATATATATATATATATATATTTTTCCTTGAATAAAGTTGGTAAAGAATAAAGCAAGGAAGACCTATTCTGCTTACACACACACATATATATAGATAGATTTAGATACATTCATAATGGGTCAATAACAGACAAAGCATATAGAAAATTATATAATATATGAGATAAATGTGGCTGATAATTTAATCTTAAAGTATAGATAAGTATCGCTATATTTTATAAGAAAATTAAAGAGAATAGAATGATTTAATATAAAAATAAAAGGAAAGAACACAAAGTAGGCAATTTGTTCNATATATATATATATACATAGGCCTATATATGTGTGTGTTAACTTAAACAAATCAACATATAAAGTTGTCCTGAATAAGTATATTATGTTACATATACAGTATATATATTCCATGAGAATTTTTTAAATCGAAAAAAATAAATAAAAATAAAAGAAAAGCGCTCATAAAAAGTAGAGAAAATACATAACATAATAAATATATACAGTCGAGTCCGCATAAGCCGACACCCCAAGGGAAAGTGAAAATGTGTCGAGTTATCCGATATGACGACTAAAGCGAAGTTAAAAAAAAAAAAACACAATACTACAATTAGGAAAATACAGTAGTGCAATAATGTCTATGTATGTCGGTCGGGACAACAGACTACTTAATGAACTTGACGGTGTCGAGTTATACCTATGATATGACTTATGCGGACTTGACTGTATATATTTATTATTTAAGAATAAATTTATAAAATACTACTGTATTTTGTGACGAGGGAAAGTGCCACGATAGTTTTAAGCTGTTTTATATATTCTCTCTCATATATATAGGCTAATATAGGCCTATATGTATATATAAGCTATATGAGAGATGGGTTAGTTATATGCACGAAAAAAATTAGAATGGCGGCACTGGGAATTGATGAATTGTCACAAAATTTTTGAAAAAGTGAGCAAAGCTTTCCTAGTATTTTATAAATTTATTCTTAGGCTATCCTTCTAGTAGAAATAGCAATTTTTATGATCGAGATTTTACAATATTCCAAATTCATATTAAAATTGCTACTAGTCTATTATGGGCTGTTGATATTTTGAAGATTAAAAATGATATTAACAAATATAAAATTTAGTTTAATGTTGTATTTATAGAGAACATTATATATGAACTTCGATAGAAAAAAATTTACGTATTGTTAAAGTAATGGTGTTTGGAATGTCGAGCGTGATTCCACCGANGCTATATGAGAGATGGGTTAGTTATATGCACGAAAAAAATTAGAATGGCGGCACTGGGAATTGATGAATTGTCACAAAATTTTTGAAAAAGTGAGCAAAGCTTTCCTAGTATTTTATAAATTTATTCTTAGGCTATCCTTCTAGTAGAAATAGCAATTTTTATGATCGAGATTTTACAATATTCCAAATTCATATTAAAATTGCTACTAGTCTATTATGGGCTGTTGATATTTTGAAGATTAAAAATGATATTAACAAATATAAAATTTAGTTTAATGTTGTATTTATAGAGAACATTATATATGAACTTCGATAGAAAAAAATTTACGTATTGTTAAAGTAGGGATACCGCGCGTGACTTTGTCGTATCACGATAAAATTGAAGCGGAGCGTTGCGATTTTGCAATTTTTCCATTGTATGAAATTTGAAGCAAATAAGAAAAAGTATTTGATGAGATTTAAGTCCTATAAAGATGTAATTAATTTATCGTGTTTTAAAAATTGATTGTTACTGTATTTTATTTTATATTATCTTGTACTAAGTTATTATATTAATTTCTTAAATATTACTAACTTTACTTCTAAATTATAGTTTAACTCCATCGTAAAGAACTAAGGTTCGTGCAATAAAGAATTATTATTATTATTATTATTAAATTAGGAAAGTTTTCCTTCTCATATTATATGCCTTACTCTACTGTTTGTCAGTTTGTCTGTCTAGATAAAACCTTGTAACTCAATTTTCACCCACTCCTCAATTAAATGTTAAACCAAGAAGAATTTTGATTACGTATTCAGTGATACATATATAAAACTAAAAAATGATTAAAAAGCGTTTTTTAAACTTTAAAAAAATCATTACAGTGAATATGTTACAATCAAGGCAATACATATAGAAGTTTTGAGTTTAATTAATCTTCATTTGGATAAAATTAAAAACCTTTAAAAAATAATACAGACAACACCTATAACCTATAATATAGATATACCATAATGTTATACCTGTATAGTAATGATTAATTAATTAGGTTATAAAAAATAACGCGTTTCTTTTGTTAAACATCGCCTTTTAAAAATCCTACAAACAGGCCTAGTTATAATGCAATTATAATTTAAAATATAATGTAAAACCATACATTAAGTATAAAACAAACAATAAAAATTAATTTACTCAATTCATTTTTTTAGTAATTGAAACCAAGTTAGAAACTGACAAATGTAGGTATAAAAGCGCAAATTTGGCGTAGGAAAAGCGTTTTAATTAAGAGTATCAAGTTTTCTGAAATTTATGAAAAACAAATTGCCCGAAATTCAGAAAATAGATGTACATCAGCTATCATTTTTTAAAATTTTATACCAATTTCTTTTAAATATAGATGTTAATATTAAATAACACGAATGAATTCAAGGTAAAGCCACGAAAGTCATGATAATCTCAAAAGATTCAGCTCTATATATGATTTTATTTAAAATTTTTTAAGATATAAATAAATTATTGTAATTAAAGTTTGATTTTAAATTGAAAAATTTTTAATTAAGATCTATTTTTTTATATTTATATTTTTAAAAAAATTTTACCTTCGATTGAAAAAAGTTAGCAAGGGCTCTTGCACGACTTTCCCGGCACTCATAATTTACAAAGTTATCTGTTATGAAATTTTAATTTTAAAATATTTTTAAATTATTAATTATCATAAAAACGCAAAATCTTTATTTCTGTGGCAAAGTGAGTTTATTAAAAAATTGTCAATACCAGTAAAATTTTCATTAAGTCTGACCCATTGGAAATATGCCATATGACCTTCTTCTATCTCCGCATCTCCCTAATTTTTAATCGCCAAAATTTAACAGCATCAATTCCCCATATATAGAAATAAGTACATACAGGATTGTACATACAGGATTATAAGGGTGTTTTTACATTTTTTATTCCTTATCCTAAATGTCAAAACTTCAAGAAAAACAAAAACAAAAAAAAAATGGGAGCTGAAATTTGACCACTCACCATGTTATATTCTATAACAGTTGCGAAAGTAATTTTTAAAGTCTAATCTCTGCACGAATCTTATAAAGAAGAGATAACGTGTAAATAGCATAGAAAACGTCTCTATGGAAAGAAATTGGCACATCGGTCGAATGTCACAATCTCAAGCGAATAATATCTCGACTAACTGGGACATCACTTAAGAGTACACGTAAGTCTTCTTAAATTACTGTATTTTCTATATACAGTAAATAATCCTTAAATAATACAGTAAAATATTTTTCAAAAAATACTATTTACTGTATATAGTCGAAAGAATCGTTTCGATAAACAAAAGATATTAGTCTATAATCGAAATTAATAAAATTTTTTTATTTCTGTTTCCGATTATTTTTCCAGTCCAGTATCGTACTATACACATGTAGCATTATTTATGTAGCTAAATATTTATATAAATATAAAAGCGATATAAATATTTATATCGCTTTTATATAAATATTTATATAAATATAAAAACGATTATAACTATCTGTGTTAAATTTAAAATGTTTATCTAAACTTTACAAAAATCTAAATGCAATTACATTGAAAAAACTATGAAAGCGAGTCGGATCTGATTTGTGAGTAAAACCATCCTAAACCAATTGAGACGTAGCTGCGTTGTAATTTCCTGCTGCAATATTTGAAATTAGCAAGTAATTTTAAGCAATAATATAAAGTTTATTATTGAGATTTCGATTACTATCGCATTCTATGATAAACATGTACAGTACAAGTAGATCTTCACGAAAGTGAATCAAACGAAAAATAAATTATAATTTTTCTATAACTTGTCTTCGATAAGACAAGTTATAGAAAAATTATAATTTATTTTTCGCTTGATTCACTTTCGTGAAGATCTACTTGTACATGTTTATCATAGAACGCGATAGTAAAGCTCAGCCACACGCGTAAAGCTCCAACTTTGACCTTTACCTTCTCCACGACCAATGAACCGATTTAGATGAAATTTAAAATATTTAGTGTCCATTATGAGTACTCTGGACGTCTTAAATTTTGATTTGCTTTGTACTTACAACATCGACATTTTTTGGCCTAGATTTAGGCTACACGAGAGAGTGAATAGCGACATTGAGTTACCGCCTCTGTTTGTCATTTTGAAGGTTTTATTTAAAAATATGCTATTGTTTTATAATAGCACGTTTTTTTTAAATTTTAAAATATTATTGGTCAATCAAACATCACGTGAGGTGACCCCTATTCAGGCTAACGCGTATCACATGAAAATACAATTATCGTGTGATCTCAGATAATTATAGCGTGATTTCATATCTTACGATTAATTTTTATCTATTAATCAACGCATGCCTAATGATTTAAAAATAGAATATTTATAAAATAATATTCCAAAATTAAAAAATGATTTCTTTTTTTAAATTTTGGGATATTATTAGTGAAGCAGTTAATAGGTGACATGCCATACAGCAGACTATCATGTCAGGTGAATATAAAATTATCATGAAAACTATTCTATTATGAAGTTATTGATAATTGAAAAATACTTGAAATCCCATTAAAAACTGGTGAAATCAACTTAAAAAAAATTCAACGGAAACATCTAATTAACGGAAATTTTTGAAAGTTGCGACATAAGAATACTGAAACCAGATTTGACAGCAAGATTAACATGTGAACAAATTGCGCAATTCACAGACTACAACTACAGAAAGTTTTAGAAGAAGCAATGTGTGCATGATAATAAATCAGGAAAACAAGAATCACAGAAAAAGGACTTCGGGCTTTACTTTGTGCCTTAAAGTTTCTTCACTAATATTGCTCAAAGGTGCTCTAATGTTCAGTCAAATTATCGTAGGTGCAACGACTTTAAGGCACAAAGTAAAGCTCGAAACCTTTATCAATGACGATGCTTGTTTTTCTGATTTATTATCGTGGTGGCATTACTTCATCCAAAACTTCCTGTAGTTTTAGTCTGTATAATGTGCACTCTACACACATGTTAATCTTACTGTCAAATCTGGTTTCAGTATTCTTATGCCACCAACTTTTAATACTTTCTTTTATTTAGATGTTTTCGCTAAGCTTCACTTTTCAACCTGATTCCACCAGTTTTTTCTTTTCTTTTTGATTTTATGGGATAATAACAGAAATTTAATGTACTTTCATCTCATGGTTCTTACAATTCAATAAATTTGTCATCATTTTTGCTCAATACAGAAAAATTCTCAAAAAAAATTAAAAAATTGAATTTATAACTTTTCATTTTTTCGAATATTGTCCATCAAGTTTTTTAATAAGAACGAAGAATTAATTTCAATGTTTCACTATAGTTTAGAATATTGGAAATGAAGATACGAAAATTAAAATCTTGATCGCTTAAAAATTAAAATGATTGCAATATTATCTCAAACGATAATAAATTAAAGTAGAAATTGAGAAATGATCTAATGCATATGTAAACGTTATCTGAATATTTGCAGACTACAATAAAACTTTTAAGTTTGAATTACTGTCCGGTTTCCATATTCGTTTTGTGTTTTCGGTTTGACGATCGCGAAATTCATAATACTAAAACAAGCTGCTTGCTTGCTCGCTACATTCGTCTATCGTAATGGTGGTAGGCATCTGGTCAACGCAACTCCCAAAGAGTTTGTGGACTTTTACAGATACGATGATAACTTGATTCGTGCAATGAAGTTTTGAGAAATTTTTATCGATATTTTAATACCATATACCAGTGGTACCCAACCCCCGGGCCGCGGACCGGTACCGGTCCGTGGATCAAACGGTACCGGGCAGCCCAAGGAATATTAAATTACTGGTATTTCCATTTTATTTACTATGGTGTATTTCTTTCTCTCGGGTTTGTGCGACTTTTAATGGACGACGGAACAACGGAATAAACTGGACATAAGAAACACCCTTCGGGTGCCATTGTCTCCTATTACCCCCAGATGGAACCGTCTTGTTGCAAAGAAACAAGCTCAGGGTTCTCATTGATTTAACGTTTTAGTGAGTTAAAATGTTAAATCACATTATATTCATTTTTTGGTGTAACTATATTTTATTTTGAAAACATGTTTAAATACAATTAAATTAAAATTATTAAATTAAATCAATCTAAAATATAAACAATCAACGTCCCCCCTCAGTTGGCCGCGGTAAAATATCAAACGTTGACCGGTCCGCGGCGATAAAAAAGATGGGAACCGCTGCCATATACAACTATATTTAAACAAAAGAGGATATAGCTTTTGATCACAATGTGTCTTATCTCTTCAATATGGACTTATTCGAATAGAGTCTTCAACATGGACTTCTAAAACGCCTCGTACTCCCGAACCAGAAGTCTCGATATCAACCAATCTGCTTCTTCTTTGAGAATCCCTAGACCCTATCACCGAGAAGAATTGAATACTTTGGTGAATCTTCTTGTGCATTCTTGTTCATAACTATGTAATAAAATTTAAATGCAATATTTTCAGACACGTGGATTTAAAATGTTAATCATTATTATTAAATACAATTAAAACCTTTTAAACATATTTTAAACTTTTTTGTTAATTTTAAATGTTCGCATAAGGATATGGTCATAAGAGGAAACATCAGATTTTTGCGAAAGTACCGCTTTTTGCAGGAAGTGTTAATACGTAACCTCTGCTAATAAGGAAAAAACTTTATTGTATTTTAAAAACTCGATAAAATCTTCGAAACGAAAGAAAAATAATGGTGGAATATCCGGTTCTGTTCGAGATAGCTATCCAGTCAGAAAGCATTTAACAATCAGTTTAGACTCTGTTTATTACTTGTCATATTTAACTTTAAACAAATTACGTTCAACCGGAAAAACTTTTGTTCATATTTCGACAGTTAAACTATTTTAAATTTCTTAATGTAAACATAATAGTAGAACTCCATTATGCAAATAATATTTTAGAAATTCGATTTGTGACGTTACTATATAACGAGGTCGTATAGCCAAGGCTGTTAAGATGTCAACATACCGCTGTGGGGGTTCCGAGATCGAATCCGGTCAAACAACTCCCAGAAATTTTTTCACAGACGATCTGTTCCGAATGTCATACTCAGGGGCAGATCTAGGTTTTTCGGGGCCTAGGGCTTATTGAAGTCCAATGAAGCCCCAATTTTTGTTATATTAAGAATATTTAAATTGGAGTTTAAAATTTATTTTTAATAACATCAAAATCAGAGTTGAAATATATTTATTTATGAAATCGTGTTGAATGACAAACTTTATATCATATATATATATATATGTATATATATATAAAACATAAGAAATACAGTAAGACCCCGCTTAACGCTGATTCGATATAACACCAGTCGGTATTACACCCGGAATCTTCTTTAAATTTCGTTGCTACATATATGTATTTTTTATGTTTAAAATTATGTATTTACAGTTAAAATCGTTAAAATATCATTGCTGTTATTTAAAATATATTTATGATTTAAATTACTATTACAAGTGAAGGTTTCGTGGTTCGACATCTAGCATTTTTTCAGAAACAAAAATAAAGGAAGACACGGTCTCGGAAATACATAAGTTAATACGATTATTTAATTCGTACATAATACGATTATTTACGAACGCGAACCAATCAGAAAAAGGTGGCAAAAAGGTGTACTTTCTTTAAATCTATGTTTGTTTAGTGCAATTTTGGAAAAAATATAACACCATGGATGCCATAGGCAATATCGGCTCGCTTAACAAGAATTAACTGATAAATGCACGAACGAAGTGTGGAAGAAGTTATGGCTGAAGGTATCCAAGAATTCTCAACTAGAAGAACCTATCACTGTATTGTTAGGTTGATCAAACTCAACCTAATCGATACAGCAGGACTAGGAGATGTAGACGAACTGAATATTGAGGAGTTACCGCAGGTTTCTGGTGAGAGTCTTATCAACGACGACCTTTAAGAACTGGCAGAACAAGGAATTTATGTAGAACTGGAAAACAGTGATTCTGAAAACGAAGAACCCAAAAAATTTCTCTACAGATTTCCTTAGTAAAAATTTGGAAATGATAACCGAAATCGTTGATCAAATTGTAGTGAATGATCCATATTTTGAAAGAAGTGTATGTGGGGGCCGAGGGAGGAAATTAAAAAAACTCGATGAACGATAATATGTGATATATATGTCGATAGGAGACAATGACGATATATGTGATATATATCGTCATTGTCTCCCTTGCCG